AAGGTGGAGGCCAAGCCCTAGCTCTGCACTTTGTAGCTGTGTGACCATCCTCCCCTCATGCCTCAGTTTCCTCACTTGTAAAGTGGATATGTGAACCGTATGTCCATTTCAGAGGGTTATTAGAACGGGACATGATTTGTATGAAGAGTCTGAAATAAGGCTAGAGTCAAAATGACCCAGGAAGACGGAGTTGGCCTGGTGATGTACAACCACTATTCACTTGCCTGCTTTCCAAATGGTCACATGTGTGGAGGGAAGAGAGTGTGATTGAGCACGCTCCCTCAGCACCTATAACAGTGCCAGAAGCCTATCCAACATCCAGGCAAAACTCACTGGATGAATGCATAAACATTAGACAGTAAGCGAGAAACAGTCAAAATTTTACCTTAAAATACGCTAATGAGTAAGATCACTCAGATTTTATCTTGGGTTTTTCTGCTTGTGCAAAGGATGTAGATGACATCTCATTAACTTGTGGTACACAAGCTCACTGTTCTCTGAGTCAAGAATCCTCTACTCTTGACAGAAGGCCACAATGTAGTTAATTAACAGGGCTGCTATTCTGGAAAGCAACATGCAGGCATGTACTGTGACAAAATTCCTCCGAGACACACGTAGAGAAACAACATTTAAATTCCTATTGGAAAGGCAAACGAACTAAATGGGGGAAAAGGAGAGGGCGTTTAAACAAAGTTTGCTGGCAGAAAAGCACTGCCTGAGCCCTCTGGGAGTCGGCTACTGAAGGAGTTCTTTACCCACCATCCCAGAGATCCAACACAGAAAAGTCGAAATGAATATTTGTGACAAGCAAGGTGCTAGCAAGTGTCAACCATGCCAGGCTTACCCCCTCCTTGCTGCTTGTAGAAAAAAAAATTAGATGAGTAAACAGATTGAAGCCCAATCTAAAATATTAGGCTGTGAGGACTTGCCAGACCAGGCGTCAGTCACATTTCCTCCAGGGATCCTTCCCTTCGGTCCTGTGCAGATGCATGCACACTCCTTTCCTAGGGCCTTTGCAAACCCTCCTAGGCCCAAAGCCACTGCATCCTGCTGCTTAGATGCCGAGGGCTATCATTTTTATCCTAGTGGGACATGTCATTCCTACAGCTCACTCACTAGGATTGTCAACCCTGTAAACATACCCATTGAGTATATAATATTAAACATATTACACATATTATATACTCAATCCCTTCCTCGGGAGATACCTTTCTACCTTGTCTGTCTTAATCTGCATTATTTATTTATTTATTTATTTATTTATTATTTATACAATATTCTTTCTGCATGTATGCCTGAAGGCTAGAAGAGGGCACCAGATCTCATTACAGATGGTTGTGAGCCTCCATGTGGTTGCTGGGAATTGAACTCAGGACCTTTGGAAGAGAAGGCAATGCTCTTAACCGCTGAGCCGTCTCTCCAGCTTAATCTGCATTCTTGACAAACAGCTGATATAATACCATTTGATGGTTAATCTTCATTATTAGCTTGGCTAGATTAAGTAGAGTGCACCTGTGTGGGTCTATTATGGTTCCAGAGACAATTAGATCCTGGGGGCTCTGAACTAATGAATGCATTAATTTCCTGATGGATTGTAATTTGATGGCACTATTGGGAGGGGTTTTATAGAAGAAACCTGGCCACTGGGGCTGCTCTTGGGGCTCTGTCTTTCCCTGATCCCCTTTCTGCAGCATGCCCCTTTCCTTCTTCCAGGTCATCTCTCAAGTCCATGACTTTCAAATGACACAGATTCTTTCTGTTGTGACGTTCTGCCCAAGTGTATGTGGTTACCTGACCATACACTAACTCTATGAAATCTTGAGCAGAGCGAAATAATTCCCCTTTTCAGTTGTCCTCAGGTATTTTGGTCACATGCACAAAATAGCACCACTCCTTTCACTTTTACAAAATGCTTTAACAGTTGTGTGAAATCTGTGAGCAGTGACATATTTAAGATGGCTTGGCTCAGCCCTTTCCCAGGCTGAAACAATATAGGCCCACGTACACGATAAACTAGGTTGTGCCTCAGTGTCTCTTAAGCGCTGACAGCTTCCCAGAAGCACTTCTTATTTACACTGAGTGTGTTTCTCTCATGTTTACACATCTGCCATCCCCTGCTGCACAGAACACACCAAGGTAACTTTGAATTCTAGTGGAGATACACAAAGTGATGGTTTCTACTGTCTTCAGCCAGGGGTCTTTAAGAAATATTTTCACTTTTACTGACTTTTAGAAGGTACAGGAGGCTCTAGAAGAGAATGTTTCAAGTCTCCATCTTAAAGATCCTGTATTTCTTCACCCCGTATGAACTATGTGACAGAAAATATCAGTGGTATGACCAGATGGAGACTGTAATTCACCGTCCACTACACTTCTCATAGTGCGGAAAGACCTGCAAGAAAGGAGCCTCAGTGTAGCAGTCGAGGCTCGAGGCTCCTAATGCAAGCATCTCTGAAGATTTTCCTCAATAAGAAATAAATGAAATTCTTTGATACATGTGGAAAGTCAAGACACCTGCTCTCTGAATTCGGCTTATCTTCCTTCCTATCCAGACATGACTCTACCAAATACAAGCAGATAAAAGTCAGAGAACCCAAGTAACATTATAGAAAATTATAGAATTTTTCAAATATAGAGCTGTCAATGGGATATTTCTAATATGTCATCTAACGAATGTGGAAGTAAGAACATAGTTGATTAAATTAATTTTAACCAAAGGAAATGAAAAATCCCATTTTAATAATTATGAGCCCTAATTCAGTAGAGAGGGCATTTTAATCAATAAATTAATTAGTTTTAATTCTAGGACCAGACTATTTTCAGTCTTCTGTTTAATCAGATCTTGCCCATGGTAAAAAAGTGCAAGTTGCCCAGGTCTGTTGCAGCGAGAACAGAGGCTGGGGTTAAAGGAAGGTGAAGGGTTCACACAGTTAGGTCTGGACCAGCGAGGAAGATGAGAAGGAGGCCTGTAGTTAAATACGAGACAACTAAGCTCGACAGAGGAGGAGAGAGACAGGGATCTCAGGCAGGGATGGCAGACCACTTGTTTCTTTCCCTAAAGCCCCCAGGGACATATTTAATGCATCATTATCCTTTCCTAAATTCTTGATTCTAATGAAGCTGATTGCAACAGACTCAATATAAGTAAGGATGGCTTCTAACAATGAGCTTTTGTTTAGGGGACTACCTCAGACCACCAGCTAGCTAGCTATGCGACAATCAAGAAAGACTGCAGCTACATCTTGGTGGCTGGGGCCGTGTTCACTCTCTGCCATGGGAAAGCTATAGCTGACTATGTAAATATGAGAATAAAGAGAGTATGGTATAATTAATGACTTCTGGGGCACCTGCAGAATCTGAGGGTAGTGATGCGGTCCAAATGACTGACAGTTATTGACAGTCAAGGTCAATATGTAACGAGGCTGGAGTTAGAGATGCGCAGTACGTGGACAACACAGAATCATTTTCATGACTGGTCCAGCGGGACAGACTGGATCATGTGGGTCTCTATTGACTCAGTCATGATAGCCCAGAAATCTAGCCAAACTAACAGGCAGTACTTCAGCCTTTGTCTAGCATCTGCCATGGCCCTGTAAAAGCCCCTGGACAAAGGAACTTGACAGTCTTTTCTTATCTTGGAAATCTCTCCTCTCAGGAATTTCTGTCACTTTCCCTCCATTTCTTACTGCTCTTAATTCTTAGTGAATTTTGCTTCTGCTATGCATACTCCCATGAAAGTGCATATCTTTAACCTTCCTTGGTTTGAGACAATGTATTTGGAGTCATTGTCTCAGCTTGATCTTTAAGACAGCCAAGCATCTGGTACCTTTGGACCCTGGTACCAGTATAACTGGGTTGAGAAAGATCCTGTCATAACTGAGAAACCCTGCAACACAATGAGCAATGTTGGGGAAATAATTCTGGCACTTACTAGACACTGGCATTCTCCACAAATATCTGCTCCCCGTTCTCAGAACAATCTCCCCAGATTAACATCATAATTTTATAGTTAAAAAAACTGGGATCCAAAGAGATTAGGTTAGTCAATCATAAATTTGGGTTTGAATCTGAAACTCGTTCTCTGACACCTTTCCCCATTTTTGCTATGTCACAATCTATCATTTAAAAAGAGAACCCAGTGGGATTTCAACAGAAAAAAATGTTTATGTGAGATAATCTTTGTAAAATGGTGCATTGCATATGTATAAGTACAAAAAGAGAAAAAGCTCAGATATCCTGGGAAATGAATTTGGGATTATTTTTGGAACAGAGGCAAAAGCCAACAGTATTACAGAGAACATAAAGGGTAAGGTTGTGGGGAGGAAGCTGGTCTGATATACTCAGCCGGGGCTGAGATCTGGCAGAAGACTGGGTGCAGGGTTTTACACATGATTTTGACTTATCTCAGCACATAGAAGAGCCTGGCAAGTAACCATTTAACCTGGAGGTCTGCATATTAGAGCTTTCTAAATCTGAACTTGGGTCCCGAGGATACAAGCGCCTTGGTGAGCCAAGAATTGTTTGTGGATTTGCCTGGCCTGTCTTCCCATGGAGGCGGCCCCAAAGTAGAGAGTTCCACACAGTTGATGGATCCAAGGCCAACTGGGCCTGACTCTGCATTTCTATGTTCTTGGCTAAACAAATTATAACCCTACACTTTTTCGGAAGGTGTGACTGCAGAGCTTCATTGAGAAAAGCACCCACCAGTCTTCTGTTCCATCAGCTAACTGATCTGCGACTGCCTCAGTCATGCTGTCTATATTTATTCCTTCTGCTTTCCTCATGTTGGTCCCTCTACTTTCTGTGCTTCTGATCGGTTACACACCTCTGTCCACTCTTGACCTACTTCCCTGGAAAGCAAGCATGTTAAACAAGGAACCCGATTGCATGCTCTCCTACCATTAGCAGAGCAGGATTTTCTTGTCTTCTTGGTCAACTCTCTTGAGACATCTCTGTGATCAGAGTGGCCACTACCATGTTGACAGAAAATAGATACTCACACTTCAGCTCCAGTTTGATGAAGTCTGTGTTCCCCAGATTTTCCAGAAACACTCCTCGAGGGATTAACGTCTTGAAATAGAAAGAAATGTCAGCACTGGTTTCTCCTTGGAAGGTAGAGAAATGCAGGTAGGATGAAGGATTAGGGAAGGAGGCAGCGTTCCAATAATTTCCTGTGGGACGAAGAGAGAAGACAAGATAATTTAACCTTGGTTAGTGAAATGACATAAAAGCTGTATTTCTTGAGTTTACTAAGACTTTATGGGCAATAGCCATGCTCCCCTTAACATTTGCTGGGGGAGCAGAGGCTCTTCAGTGGAGCTGCCTTCGAGTTGTGCAGAGAGCTCCAGGGGTGGCAGGGGAATAGGGTCTGAAATATCAAGATTTGTATGTGAAAGGGGCCAGGTTGCTGGGCAAGACTGGAAACTTTTCTTTCCTTGAGCTTCATCTAAAGAATCGAGCATGTGCAGGGTTCTTTAGATGGGAGCAGTGGGGACTATAAAGGCCCTATAAGGGCCTTATAACCCATGCAACTACTCCGTTAGCTCATTTGCATGCTTTCGTTCTTGGGACTGCTTTTCTTCTCTTAATAAACTATCTCTATTCCTGTTTCTAATCATGAGGACCTGGTGTAATCTTTGGTCCTGGGACACCAGAGCCTGAAATCAGATGTCATCTGAACTCACCCAGGTACCCTCAGTCAATCAACACAATCCATCCTTCCCAATCCTTGCCTGCCAGAGTGGCCAGTGTCTCAAGAAGAATGTACAAAGCATAACAAAACTCCAAACCAACTTACTCAGATTCCATCAGGACAAGTGGATCAAGAATTCAATATGGGTCCATGACCTGACTTGCAGCTTGATCTCTTGTGGAGACCCCTTTCTAACGTGCACATTTACCATCCCAGGTGAAGATCAAAACACGCAGTTGTGTTTTGAAGCTTACTAAAGCTTTGAGCTTTATGCTAATTCTACAATCTGTGTTAATGGTGTATGCTGTACCTGTTGTCTGAAGGGCACAACAGGTGAGCTGAGCTCACTTCATTAGTTTATAGTCACACATAAACTTCACTTTCTTTCCTTTAATGAAAACCGCATATATATGAGACATTAAATCCAATTACTATTCTTTAACAAAGGTAACTTTATGTTGGCACTGCTATTCTTAAGCTATATTTTAAAATTAAACATGCAGTATTGTTCTGCTCAGATATTAAATTACCTTCTTACCACACTAGTGAGATTTGTTTTTGTAGGCATCTAGGATGTAGTGACATCCAGATAAGTGCATGGAATATTTAAAGTTAAATGCATTAAAATTTTAATGAGTTTATGTGAGCCACCTCGGTGATTTCTCAATAAAGCAACACCAGACTGTAAGGGGCTTAATGCCACCAGTTGGGGAGGGCAAGAAGAGAAACTTATGTGTTCATGGAAACAAAACAGAGAAAACACAGTTGATTCCCATTATCCTTTGTTTAGTTCCAGTACCTTGGTGGATATTAAAATCAGAGAATGGAAGTCCCTTACATAAAATCTTGAAATACTTGCATATAATTTATGCACACCCTGCTGTACACAGCTGCAGATTCCTTGTAATACTAATACAATGGGAACACCATGATGCAATTGGCATACTGGATTGTTTAGACAATAACAACAGGGAGAAGTTGGCATATGTTTCTATACGGAGTCGACTCTTTCTTTTCACCTCTCTGTGTGTCCTGAAGGCTGGAAGGTCAAACTAAGATGGCCAGGTTCATGTGGCACTTGCTGAGCCATCTTGCTGGCCCCGCCTTTTGGAGCAGGCAGTCAGTGAGCTGAAGATCAATGCCTAAGCCATGCTGGTTGGCCAGTGAGCCCAAGGGAACCTTTCTGGGCTTCCCCAGCACTGGGATTACAAATGTGTGCCACCATACCTGGCTTTTATTTTATAAAGGTCCAGGAGATTGAACTCAAGTCCTCATGCTTGAGTGAAAAGTTCTTTATAAACTGAGCCATGTTTCTAGCTTCTAAAAGTTATTTTTGGCATGCAATTCAGCTGCCAAATCCATAGACACAGCCAAAAGTTGACTGCTGATTTCTGATTGGTTAAGCTTGAGTTTTGTCATATTCTTCGCATTGGAATTTATACACATTGGCGAAGGGGTTGAATGGATGACATAAAATAGTTCCTAATATTTCTTATTCTCTGGAGTTGTCCCAGAATAATGGTCTCACTTTCAGCTATTTTAGTAGATAATATATAACTGATAAGTCAGAGAAAATACATCTGTAGGTGTCTCCACTAGAGTCAAAAGATTTGTAAAGGGTTGAGGCTGTAGCTCAGTTAGGAGAGTGCTTGCCTAGCAGGTCTTTGACCCTTAGCACTGCATAGCCAGCAATGGAGGTTCATGCCTGTAACCCAGGATGTGGAGACAGGAGGATCAGAAGTTTAAGGCCATTCTTGGCTCTCTGGAGAAGGAGAATGCAGCCTGGGCTCCTTGAGATCCTACCTCAAAGAAGAAATATTGGGGGTAGGGATTGCTTGCTCTTAAGGTGAATGAAAGTCATTGTATAGTTTAGTTTATTGTGTTTTAACTGTTCATAGCTTTCAGGAGGAGACTATGGGCTCATTTTTTAGGAAAAAAAAAGATCATGATAGCAGGCAGGCCAATACTGGAAAAAGAAAGGATCTGTACTGTCCCCAATGCCGATGCTTTCATCCAAGGGCTGAGCCTCCTTCCTGGGTCCATACCTGTTGTTCCATGTAGGGAGAGAGGGGCACTGTGCCAGCAACCAGGAAGCCTAGTACTTCTTTGAGAAAACCTAAACCATGAAGAACCCCAAAGCTGGAGTGGGTGAAGATGTATCTCCTGGGGCCAGGAGGATTCTGCTGGTTCTGAGTAGGGAAAGCCCTTTAACAACCTCAGAGTCTGCCAGGATTCCAGTCCCTGTGTTCCTCCAGCCTTATGCAGAGCAATTCTGTCTCTCTTTAGGTTGAAACCCCAGGGCAGGAATGTAATTAATGTTTTCAAGTTTCAATCTAATCAAGTACATTCTTATTATCTGAGGTGGTGATGCATTAACAGAAGGGCAGTTGTCTGAAGTGATTCTAGGAAAACGAAAGCTAAAAGGAAAACATGTCAGTATTTATTTGAGGTCCAGGCCTAGTTATTCTGACAGGAATATACTCAGAGACGAGCAGGGCAGTTCAATCATCTCTTCTTGTTTGATGAAATATTTCTGCAGATGGCAATTCCATTTGTTCTATTCTGTGCTCACTAAACAGCTTCTATCTATTTCAGTTTATCGAATGGGCGTATTCATAGGGAAACCAAGTCTTGTACTTGTGGTGTTTACCAGGCTCCTTGAATGGGCATATTCATAGGGTAACCAAACCTGTACTAGTAGTGTTTACCAGGCTCCTTGAATGGGCTTATTCACAGGGAAACCAAACCTACTAGTACTAGTAGTGTTTCCCGGGATCCTGGAAAGGTCTGGATTGTCACATGCTACATTTGCTGCTTGTGTGTCCCAAATCTACGAATGAATTCATCAAATCCAGACTCCTCTTTAGCAGCAGGAGGGCCTCTGCTCTGCCCTGGTCTGGTGAGATCACAGTTGCTTTCAGCACAGGAGTTGGGAGGAGAGGATAGACTGAAACAGCAGAGGATATCCCAGCTCATTTATATTGTTTATTTAATTTAATTTAAATAAATTTTATTTAGTTTAATTAAATAATATTTTACTTATCAGTGTGTGTGGTATATTAATGTGTATGTATGCAAGTGTGTGAGTGTGTGTGTGTGTGAGTGTGTGTGTGTGAGTGTGTGTGTGTGTGTGAGTGTGTGTGTGAGTGTGTGTCTGTGTGTCTGTGTATGTGTGTGTCTGTGTGTGTGTGAGTGTGTGTGAGTGTGTGTGTGTGTGAGTGTGTGTGTGTGTCTGTGTGTCTGTGTGTGTGTCTGTGTGTGTGAGTATGTGTGTGTGTCTGTGTGTCTGTGTGTGTCTGTGTGTGTCTGTGTGTGTGTGTGAGTGTGTGTGTGTCTGTGTGTGTGTCTGTGTGTGTGTCTGTGTGTGTGTCTGTATGTGTGTGTGTGTCTGTGTGTGTGTGTGTGAGTGTGTGTGTGTGTGTCTGTGTGTGTGTGTGTGTGTGTGTGTGTGTTTGTGCAGAAACATACCTGCTATGGCATGGGTGTGGAGCTCAGAAGATGACTTTTGAGAGTCAGGTTTTCTCTTTTGCTATGGCATCTGGGGATTGACCTCAATTCATTAGGTTTATGCAGCAAACACTTTACCCACTGAGTCATTGTGCTGGTTTACTGTCCTTCCTTTTAAATGTCTACTTTAGTTAAAGTGTATCTCTCTCTCTCTCTCTCTCTCTCTCTCTCTCTCTCTCTCTCTCACACACACACACACACACACACACACACACACAAATGAAGTATCAGCAAGAACAAATAAGGAACTATGCTTAGTGGGATGTGAGTTTACTTTCTTTTAAGAAGAGATATTATTATTTTTCTTTTATGTGTATGGACATTTTGCCTGCATGTATCTTTGTGCACCACAGGCTTGCCTGGTGCCTGCCAAAGCAGAAGAGGGTATCAGATTCCTTGGTACTGGAGTTACAGGCAGTTGTGAGCTGCCATGTGGGTGCTGGGAATCAAAGGCAGGTGCTCTGGAGGAGCGGCCAGTGCTGCTCTTACTGCAGAATCCTTTCTCTAGCCCTATGAGCTCACTTTCAGTGCGTGTGTAGAAAGGAAAAGCACTGAATGCTGATGTTCTAGACCCTGGTGACCTTTTCTGAGTCTTGCCTGAAAAGTCTGTGGCCCAGACTCTGGAACTCTGAGTTACAAAAAATAATGTGAGAGTCTTCTCCGGTGTACACTGCCTTCCACCATGGAGGGAGTGATAGCATTATTACTGTTTGTTTATATCGCTCCTAGTCAACCATAAGCTCCCTGGAAGCTGGAATAAAACCATTTCATCTCCATAACCTTTGGCCTCAGAATATAGTCAGTACTCTATAAATAATTGTTAAATAAATGAGTAAGTGATTAGTCACTCCTCATTTATATCTAGTTTTAATTCCATATGTAAACTCTTCATGGGTCTAAATGTTGTTTATGTGTACCCCGGGTATTAAAGATGCTAAATAAATATCAATAAAGGCTAATGCTGCTTTAGCA